ATGATCTAGCCATGTCCGTCCGTTTGTCCGTCCGTAAGTCCGTCTGTCCGTCCGTCTGTTGTAATCACGCTATCTTCTGAAGGAATGAGATAGGGGGCTGAAATTTTGCATAGGGTTGTCTTTTGTCTGCAGGCAGGTCAAGTTCGAAGATGGGATATATTGGTTCACGTTTAGGCATAGCTCCCATATAAGGGTACCCCCCAATTTTCGGTATTTTGGGGTTCTTGACCGTGTTTTTTAACCGAATTCGCTGAAATCTCCCTACAAAAATTATTTATATTCGCCCCCTTTTTGGGGTAGTCCCCATACAACCCCCCTTTTTATACCCTTCACCACACTGTGGTACAGGGTATTATGTCTTTGTGCATATGTTTGTAACAGGCAAAAGTAATCGAGATAGACCCATGGTTCCTTTTGAGAATATGCATAGAATCACTTTCTGAGTCGATTTATGCATGTCCATCCGTCCGTCTGTCCGTCTGTCCATGTTAAATTGTAAACAAAGTACAGGTCGCATTTATGATCCGATTTGGATGAAATTTGGCACAGCTCATTTGTTTGGCCCAAGGACGAACCCTATTGAAATTGGGAAAAATCGGTTCAGATTTAGATATAGCTCCCATATATATTTTTGCCCGATTTACGGACTTTAGACCCTGAAAATCTTTCGATTTGCACGAAATTTGGCATAGCGTACAGAATTGAGCCACGAAAGATGTGTGCCAAGTTTCGTGAAAATCGGTTCAGATTTAGATATAGCTCCCATATATAGTTTCGCCCGATTTTTGGTAAATGGCGTACCAAAGTCCCTATATATCTTTCGATTTGCACGAAATTTGGCATAGCGCACTGAATTAAGTCTAGAATGATGTGTACAAAGTTTCGTGAAAATCGGTTCAGAATTAGATATAGCTCCCATATATATTTTCGTCCGATTTAAGGTAAATGTTGTACCAAAGTCCCTATATATCTTTCGATTTGCACGAAATTTGGCATAGCGTAATGAATTAAGCCTGGAGTTGTGTGTGTTAAGTTTCCTGAAAATCGGTTCAGATTTAGATATAGCTCCCTTATATATTTTCGTCCGATTTAATGTACATGGTGTACCAAAGACTCTATATATCTTTCGATTTGCACGAAATTTGGCGTAGCGTAATGAATTGGGTCTAAAATTATGTGTGTTAAGTTTCGTGAAAATCGGACGAGATTTATATATAGCTCCCATATATATTTGCGTCCGATTTAAAGTACATGGTGCACCAAAATCCCTATATATATTTCGATTTCCACGAAATTAGGCATAGCGTAATGAATTAGGTCTAGAGTGATGTGTGTTATGTTTCCTGAAAATCGGTTCAGTTTTAGATGTAGCTCCCATATATATTTTCGTCCGATTTTATGTAAATGGTGCACCAATATCCCTATATATCTTTCGATTTGCACGAAATGTGGCAGAGCGTAATGAATTAGGTCTTGAATGATGTGTGTAAAATTTTATAAAAATCGGTTCAGATTTGGATATAGCTCCCATATATATTTTCGTCCGATTTTAGATAAATTGTGTACCAAAGTCCCTATATATCCTTCGATTTGCAACGAAATTTGGTACAGCGTACAGATTAAAGTCTACAATGATGTGTATTAAGTTTCGTGAAAATCGGTTCAGATTTAGATATAGCTCCTAAATATATTTTCGTCCGATTTAAATTAAATGGTGTACCAAAGTCACTATATATCGTTTGATTTGCACGAAATTTGGTATAGTGTACTAAATTAGGTCTAAAATGATGATTGTTAAGTTTCGTGAAAATCGGTTCAGATTTAGATATAGCTTCTATATATATTTTCTTCCGATTAAATGGTGTGCCATAAATTAAATGGTATACCAATGTCCCTATATATTCGATTCGTCCGATTTTAGGTAAATAGTGCACCAAAGTCCCTATATATCCTTCTGACCAAAATTTTGTATAGGTTGCAGAATGACATGTTTAATTTCATGTTAATGGTCCTTCAAAAATCCGACGTCTGTTAAGATTCCATCTGTATACCCAAAGTGGTGAAGGGTATCATATAGTCGGCCCCGTCCGACTTTACTGCTTTCCTTACTGGTTTATATTAAAATAGTTATATAGTTTGTTCCGCGTTTTCGTTTTGGTTCTAAGAGTCTGTCGTAATCATTTAACCTGCGGAGGATATGGTTTACATGATCGCGTTGTAGAAATGTCGGTATAAGTCCACTTTTTGGTATTTTCCCTACATTTTCATTTCAAGTACTTGTCAGTATATCTATGGTGGAGGGTATACAAAGTTCGGCCCGGCCGAACTTAACGCTTTTCACTTGTTTATATTAAAATAGTTAGCAAATTTGTTCCGTGTGTTGGGGTTATCTATAGATGAAATTTTCAGTTCATACCCTGCAGTATGGAATTCTAAAACGACATAGTCGATTTGGCCATATGTTGTATTCACTTTTCTATTGGAGGATATTGACATAAAAACTAGAACATGTAGGCCTAGGTCCTTTATAAAACATCCTACATATTTAATATTTAGCGTGATGCACGGTATTGGGATTCAAAACTATATTATTAGCTTGGATCTTGAGCTATATCGGCCATTAATTAGGCATAACCTCTTTTTTAATAAAAACACCAACTATTCGCTAATTCCTACACAATGTTGTTAATATTGGTCCCGCTTTAGTATGCCTCTTATAAATTTGGCCTCTTAATTGGAGTATTTCAGGATTTTATACACATGTTTCACCCTACTATGTCAACATTTTGGGGTTTTGAGATTTTAGGGAAAAAATCCCCATTGAAATTGCTGAAATTTCTAGTTTGGTTGCAACAATCGGTAGAATTGTAGTTATATATATGTTCCCTATATTTTCATTTAAAATTTTCATTTAAAATTAATTTACAGTAGTTTGAGGATTTTATACACTACAATGCGTTATCAATATCAGTCCACTTTTTGGATCTTACAGATTTTAGGAAAAATCCCCATTAAAAATTTGAAGTTTGTATTTGGTGTACATAATGGATTACATAAATCGTTTTGTAGAATTATCGATATATGCCGACTTTTTGGTATGTTCCCTATATGTTCTTTGCAATTATCTGTCAGTATAACTATGGTGGAGGGTACCCAAAGTTCGGCCCGGCCGAACTTAACGCTTTTTCACTTGTTTATTTTCTAAATAAGACAAGTAAAAAACTGTCAGTCGGTGCTGCCGACAGATATATATCCCCAGGCTTTGGTTTGCGGAATTACACCTAAAGGTTTCGGATTTAATGTTGATAAATTTGATAAAACATTGACTATTTGTGAGGGATGTACCAGAAGTAATGGACTACTGGGTCCCATTTTCGGAATTGATATAGGGTTGGTAAAGATAATAAGTAGTCCAAGGTTTGGTTAAACATGACATTCCATTCGCCTGATATTGCATTTATAAATATTGCAAATTTTGATCAGATGGAGTGGAACAATGGGTCCCATCTTTGGACTTAATATTCGACTTCTTCAAACTTGATCTATGCTTAGTAAAGGTAATAGGTTGTGGAATGTTTGGTTCACCGCGGACATTCCATTAGCTCGATATTGGTATTATAGATATTGAAAATTTTGATCTTCTGTGTTGGAGGTACCAGAAAGAGTGGACCAATGGTTCCCATCTGCGAACTTGATCTATGCTTGGTAAAGATAATAGGTTGTACAAAGTTTAGTAAAAATCGGATTGTCCGTTTGCATGTTATTATAAAATTTAATTTTTAGCACAATTTTGATCATTTTGTGGGGGTGGTACCAGAAGGAGTGGACCGATATTCCCCATCTTCGAACTTAAACTAAGTTTGAAAGTAATATTACGATGTGCAAAGTTTGAATAAAATCGGTTGCTGTCTTCGAGAGTTATCGTGCGCACCAGCCAGACAGACGGACGGACGGACATGTGTAAATCGACTCCAAAATTCTTGAAACGGATTTGGTCCAAAGAAACATGGTTAAACCCCATGTTTCTTTGGACCAAATCCCAATATTTCTATCAGGCATATTTCATCGTATGAAAGTGTATATACCCTCATTAGCCATAAGGCTGAGGGTATAATTATATTTGGGTAATCAGCCATTACCTCATAATTTATATTGGCCGGCAAGTATTCCAAACACTTTTCATGTTTGCACATGCAAATACCGGCTACCTTATCTACCCACCTCTTATATTTCTTACATTAACAAATTATCTAGGATATTGAAATGTCCAATAGTTGTGACACTTATTGACCTATATTTGTTGCCGTATTTGTCTAACTTATTCGTGAAGCTTCAAATTGTTGACTTAATTTAGAAATGCATGGCCTGATAACATTTGGCACAAATATACAGTTAATAATTGACGCAAATGTGTCAGCCAATAATTTGCAATTAACATTCTCATTCGACGCTTGAACTAATCGAGTTGCGTGTTTGTCAAGTGAATAATTTCATAACAATTTAAACAATAGTTTCAAATATGTACATACATAGGCAAACGATTGTGGGTGGAGAATTGAGATGACGAAACAATGAACAATGACGATTAAGTATTTAATCCGTTCGACAGAAATTTACTATTTTTACTGCAAAGTTTATAAATGCAAGATGACAAACGCTTCTATTTCCACAAATAAAAAAATCGATTTCGCACAAAATGCAGTTCCTGTTCCTTTGTGTTGTGCAAAAAAAAAAAAAAAGTTTATGTATCAACCTGTTAATGCATTTTCTCCATTATCGATATACATTAATGCACTTTTATTTTTCGCCATTGACCATATTCATATTGCATTAATACACATTTTTTCCGTAATAAATTGCCACATAACAGTAAGAGTTTTTATTTCGGTGATTTAAAAAAAAAAATTTTAAATTTTTGTGAAAACAAAACATAAGAAGACGAACCAAAATAACAATGTATATGTATAATTTGCTTAAAACTTGTTTTTGAATTTCAGTACTTAAATCCCAGTCGTGCCACCTTCTCCATCTTGGCCTTCTTCCTCTTCACCATTATCTTCAATGCGTTCACCAATAATAATTTCCTCCGCCAATTGATAGAGTTCTCGAATGTCCTAAATTAAACATAAACCAAATATTAATAAATGAATATAAAATCGTCGTCTGCAACTTACCCTAGCATTACGCAATTGCATTATTTTCTCATCTTCGTAGCGTAAATGATCATATTGATCTTTGGAAATAAGTAAGCCCTCCGCAACATCACCTTCTAATTCGTGTTTTAACATATTGGCATAGCGTTGCTTTGCCACACTGATGGTACTTCCCTCATCGAAAGATTCACCACTTGATATATTTGATGCATCATCAGATGCGATATTTTTCGGAGCTAATGATGTTTCGTCTGTTGCAACAAGTGTCATTTCCTGGCCGTCTCCAGTTTGTTGGGATTGTAAAATAGCCTAGGATATTAAGTAAAAAATATGTATACAAATTTAGATAGGTTGAAGAAATATTTGTACATAAAACCAACCATATTGTAAAAAATATTAAATAAAATTATAATATTACGCAAAAATATTTCCAGTAATATTAAGACATTTGGAATAATTAATTATGTTTTTTTCTGTAATGAATGCATTTTGGTATAATGAGTTCGGTTTAAGTGCCACGACAACCCATACTATTCCAAGATATTTGTACCAGTAATTATTTGTTTCACGTCTTGTTTCACGTGGTTAGTTTTTTCTGTCTTGGAAATCTATTTCATTTTGCACTGAAATGTCCTTGAAGTAAAAGATCCTCTTAATTATATCCTACAGTCGATTTGGGCATGGTCTTTCGTCCGTCTATCTCTCTTTCCGCGTGTTATTTTAAATAAAGTACAAGTCGCAAGTATTATCCAACTAGTAAATTGACCACAGCTTACTTATTTGGCCTATGGAGGTGCTCTATTGAAAGTAGTGAAAATCGACACATATATATATATATAGCATTTCCACATTAAATGAAACCTTTTACAAATTAAATGAACCCTTTTCCAAATTAAATGAAACCTTTTCCAAATTAAATGAAACCTTTTCCAAATTAAATGAAACCTTTTCCAAATTAAATGAAACCTTTTCCACTTGAAATGAAACCTTTTACAAATAGAATGAAACCTTTTCCAATTGAAATGAAACCTTTTACAAATAGAATGAAACTTTTTCCAAATTAAATGAAACCTTTATTGTTATCTAAGGAAATATAATTGCACTAATTTTAAACCAATATTTGAAAATTAAATCAAAGAATATTAACAAATATAGTTGTATGGCTATGTAATTAACATAAATATTCTTTAATTCGGCGTGATTTCATTTAATATCTTTACTACATAAAACTAAATAAATAGTAATACAAACTGGGGTATTTCTTGACATTTTAATAAATAAATATTTAAGAACAAGAATTGAATACCCGGTCCTAAATGCGAAATACATATTGGACTTAATAAATTGTTGATGATAAGGTAACTGCTTAACTTAATGAAGGGGTTCCCGACTTGCAGCTTGTGGGATTTTCAAAACCATGTCCATAACGTAGTTAGAACAATCTTGCGGAGGAAGCTTTTGAATACTTCGCTCGATTACAGCAACAATGTTATGTTCCATTGAAACGTCACACAGCTCAGATCTTGGACATAATTTTATTTTTGAAAATGCATTTTCGATTGGATTTAGCATTGGAGAATAAGGCGGTAAGAATTTAAGGTTGCATCTTTTGGATTCGATCAAATTTGTTATGTCATGTCGCTTGTGTATTTGAACGTTATTTTCCAACTCTGGATTGATTTTCTCAAAAAAAAAAAAAACACTACCAAAAAATTCTATAAATAATTTAAATCTGTCGGCATTGACACTGGAATTAGAATCGATGGTGTGATATACAACTCCCGCGTTGTTTATTGCTGCAATTATATTGACATTACGACCTCTGACCGTAGGCAACACAATGTGTGCTCTTGTTCCTTGTCTTGAACGGGCTTGGGTTCTTCGTATGTGAAGATTAAATCCACACTCATCAATGAATATAAATTTTGCTCCTTGTTGGGATATCCATTTTGTAAAGTCTTGAGCATATTTTTGTCTCAAGCCTAATGTTCTGGAGTCATTCATTCGTTCTATTTCAATAGAGGCCATTTTAAACGCAATTTTAAATTTCCGTAATCCATATTCCATGCAGCTTGTGGAAATATTTATATCATTTTCTTTCAGCAGTTTAGTTTTTATGGCTTTGAGGGTAATTCCAGGTTGACTTTCTATATAGAACTCGATCAGACTTAAAACTTGTGGTGTCAACAACCTAATTCTATTTCCTCCTCGCTTATTTTCCTTCAATGTTCCAAAATTTTGTTTGTAATTACTTCACATTGTCGAGAGTTTACTGTTTTGGATGTTCACATTATCGAGAGTTCACTGTATTTAAAAATAGCAACGTTTAAAATAAATGCGAACCTGATTTTAGCTCGGGAAGCTCTGATAATTGGGAACCTGAGGAAGAATCAATATCCTCGCCAAGTATTGCAAGTGGAAATGCTCCAGAACCTACCAAAGCTAAATCTGCAAGACCCCGAAACAAATTGGGTCAGTATAACAAAAGACATAAAATTGTTATTATTTAAATTCTATGAAGAGGGGAGAACCATTTCCGAGGCTGCAAACCTGCAGCCTGCATAAAAATAAATTCCGAAAAAACAATTATAAGAAGATACAAACAAAATTTTGGAACATTGAAGGAAAATAAGCGTGGAGGAAATAGAACTAAGTTGTTGACACCGCAAGTTTTAAGTCTGATCGAGTTCTATATAGAAAGTCAACCTGGAATTACCCTCAAAGCCATAAAAACTAAACTGTTGAGAGAAAATGATATAAATATTTCCACAAGCTGCATAGAATATGGATTACGGAAATTAAAAATTACGTTGAAGATGGCCTCTATTGAAATAGAACGAATGAATGACTCCAGAACATTAGGCTTAAAAAAATATGCTCAAGACTTTACAAAATGGGTACCCCAACAAGGAGAAAAATTAATATTCATTGATGAGTGTGGATTTAATCTTCACATACGAAGAACCCAAGCCCGTTCAAAACAAGGAACAAGAGCACACATTGTGTTGCCTACGGTCAGAAGTCGTAATGTCTCTATAATTGCAGCAATAAACAACGCGGGAGTTGTACATCACACAATCGTTTCTAATTCCAGTGTCAATGCAGACAGATTTAAATTATTTATAGAATTTTTTGGTAGTGTTTTTTTTTTTTTTTTTTGAGAAAATCAATCCAGAGTTGGAAAATAACGCTCAAATACACAAGCGACATGACATAAATTTGATCGAATCCAAAAGATGCAACCTTAAATTCTTACCGCCTTATTCTCCAATGCTAAATCCAATCGAAAATGCATTTTCAAAAATAAAATTATGTGCAATAGCTGAGCTGTGTGACGTTTCAATGGAACATAACATTGTTGATGTAATCGAGCGAAGTATTCAAAAGCTTACTCGGCAAGATTGTTCTAACTACGTTATGGACATGGTTTTGAAAATCCCACAAGCTGCAAGTCGGGAACCCCTTCATTAAGATAAGCAGTTACCTTATCATCAACAATTTATTAAGTCAAATATATATTTCGCATTTAGGACCGGGTATTCAATTCTTGTTCTTAAATATTTATTTATTAAAATGTCAAGAAATTTGTATTACTATTTATTTAGTTTTATGTAGTAAAGATATTAAATGAAATCACACCGAATTAAAGAATATTTATGTTAATTACATAGCCATACATCTACAGTTGTTGATATTCTTTGATTTAATTTTGAAATATTGGTTTAAAATTAGTGCAAATATTATATTTCCTTAGATAAGAATAAAGGTTTCATTTAATTTGGAAAAAGTTTCATTCTATTTGTAAAAGGTTTCATTCTATTTGTAAAAGGTTTCATTTCAATTGGAAAAGGTTTCATTTAATTTGGAAAAGGGTTCATTTAATTTGGAAAAGGGTTCATTTAATTTGGAAAAGGTTTCATTTAATTTGGAAAAGGTTTCATTTAATTTGGAAAAGGGTTCATTTAATTTGTAAAAGGTTTCATTTAATGTGGAAATGCTATATATATATATACGTTTGCACAACGTTCTAAAGTTAGTATAGCCTATCATGTGGAACGTTTCGTTGAAGTCGGTTCTGATTTAACTCCATAAATATTTTCGTCTGATTTTAAGTCAATAATGAAGCAAAGACCTAAAATATGGCCGAT